AGAGCTTTATGACTGAGTAAGGCCGAGGGCCTGATTGTGAGATATTATACCACAACATGTGAGTTGGCCGTGCAACACGTGAGTTGGCCATGCGAATCCTTTTATTATACTCTAGCACGTGAGTTGGCCGTGCAACACGTGAGTTGGCCGTGCAGATCCTTATATTATACTATAGCACGCGAGTTGGCCGTGCGGATCTAGATATTTATATTATGGCACGTGAGTTGTCCGTGCAGATTATAGCGCTTGGGCTGAAGGGGCCCCTCCGGAGTCTGTACACCCCCAGTGAGCGCGGGTACCCATTGAGTGTGAGTATTGAGGGCTGGGAGCCCAGTGAGTGATTGTTGTCCTGAGAGGCTGTATTTGCTTTCCTTTTGTTGTTGCACTTAGTTACTATCTGTCATTGTTGTGAAATTCTCTGATAGATTTTTTATCTGGATTACATGAACTTGAAATGTATAAATTGATTTGACTTAAACTGCTGGATTTGAAAGCATGTCTATTCTCTATTGGAATTATTGAAAATGAACTATAGCTGTGTAGCTCGTCATTATATTCAGTTCATTAGTTATTGTTATTACTTGTTGAGTTGGTTGTACTCATACTATACCCTGCACTTCGTGTGCATATTCAGTATTTCCGGACATAGCGGGTGCTAATTCTCTTGCACAGTTGATTTTTCGGAGATTCAGAGGTAGCTGCCGTGTTTCGCAGACCTTGCCTCTCCTTCCCTATCTCCTTATTTACTGCATTTGGTCTCGGACTATTATGGACTGTATTTTCCAGACTTGTATTCATATTAGATGCTCATGTACTCAGTGACACCAGGTTTGAGAGTGTTTATATATGTATTTGTGAATTTTCTTCCGCTGAATTTAATCATTTTGTTTTTAAACATAAAATATATGGGAGTTTATTGAGATTGTCGGCTTTCCTAGTATTGAGATAGGTGCTATCACGACAGGTGAGATTTTGAGTCGTGACACTACGCTCCTTATTTACGTGATAACTTCGCTTAACTTATTTACGTGCAGAGAATGTAAATAAGCTTTTTGGGATTGCAGAGAAATTCGCTCAAACTTTGCCTGTGATCGTCCAAATTACAGAAGGTTTTCTCCTCCTTTCTCTTCCTATTTCAAACTAGAGAATTCAACTTTCTCGTCCAAATTGCACCATAAAATTACAGTAAGTTCTAAAATTTCAGATATCTCTATATGCTTTTGTATGTTTGTGTGGAATTTTATTTGGTTGGTGGAGAATAAGATGCAAGGGATTTGATATTTTTTTTCCTTTTCTGGATTGCATTGTATTGATAAAATTTCCTGTATTTACAACTTGTATTGATAATGTTAAGGACATCGTGTCCTTAACTTTATGGCTGTTGTGTAAATATTGAGGACAAAGTGTCCTGTACTTGCAATTTTTATTGATAAAATTAAGGACATTGTGTCCTTAACTTCATGACTGCTATGTAAATATTAAGGACAAAGTGTCTTGTATTTGCAACTTGTATTGATAAAGTTTAGGACATCGTGTCCTTAACTTTTATGACAACTGTGTAAATATTAAGGACATAGTGCCCTATATTTGCAACTTTTATTGATAAAGTTAAGGACATTGTTTCCTTAACTTTATGACTGTTGTGTAAATATTAAGGACAAAGTGTCTTGTATTTGCAACTTGTATTGATAAAGTTTAGGACATCGTGTCCTTAACTTTTATGACTACTGTGTAAATATTAAGGATATAGTGTCCTGTATTTGCAACTTGTATTGATAAAATTTAGGACATAGTATCCTTAACTTTATGACTACTGTGTAAAAATATTTAGGACATAGTGTCCTGTATTTTCAACTTGTATTAAAACAGTTTAGGACATCGTGTCCTTAACTTCATAGCTGCTGTATAAATATTAAGGACAAAGTGTCCTATATTTATAACTTGTATTGATAAAGTTTAGGACATCGTGTCCTTAACTTTGTGACTACTGTGTAAATATTAAGGACATAATGTCCTGTATTTGCAACTTGTATTGATAAAGTTTAGGACATCGTGTCCTTAACTTTGTGACTACTGTGTAAATATTAAGGACATAATGTCCTGTATTTGCAACTTGTATTGATAAAGTTTAGGACATTGTGTCCTTAAACTTCATGACAGTTGTGTAAATATTAAGGATAAAGTGTCCTGTATTTGCAACTTGTATTAATAAAGTTTAGGACATCGTGTCCTTAATTTCATGATTGCTGTATAAATATTAAGGACAAAGTGTCCTGTATTTGCAACTTGTATTGATAGAGTTTAGGACATTATGTCCTTAACTTCATGACTACTGTGTAAATATTAAAGACATAGTGCCTTGAATTTTTTATTTTCTTGACTTGCAGGATGGATACAATATGTATTATAGTTGCTTTTAATGGAATATGGACCACATACTATAAGTAACTGGATCATCAAACAAAGCTTGTTCTAGTACCCGAGGCAATTCGATTTGAAGATTTTGTCAACCAGGTCTTTGAAGTTATTGAATTGGATAGAGACAAATTTGAAGCAATGATATGATTTGATATCAGCCTAGGAACAAGCAAGGGAATGCTTGTATCCAAAGATTTAGATCTTCACACATGTATAGAGTTACTAAAATGTCATTCACTCTTCAAGGGCCGTCGTTTCATTGTTGATATTTTGGAAAGAGTTTTTGGCTCTACAAGCACCTTATAACATGTCAATATAGAAACTCAACAAGACAATCAAGACAAATGCCAATAGATAATGGAAATAGATGTGGTTGAACCTGAACCAATAATTAAAGAGGTGCTTCAAACATTTAATTCTATTCAAGTGGAAGGACAAAACATTATAAAGATTGATAACCAACAAGCTTTGGGTATTCAAGTCTTAGAGAGTGCACCAGTAATAGAAGAAGTTGCTGAAAAATCCTCTACTCAACTAATTAGACGAAGGTCAAAGTCGAAACAAAAAGAATCTCCAACTACAATAGTAAGAGAAAATGCTTTGTTGGATGAAATAAAAGTGGGAGAGGGTGGATGAAATAAAAGTGTGGTTGAGGGTGGTTGAAGCGAGGGTGAGGATGACAGTGTCTGTATCCGAAAACCAGTTCGGGTTCATGCCGGGTCGTTTGACTACAGAAGCTATACACCTTGTTAGAAGGTTGGTGGAACTATACAGAGAGAGGAAGAAGGATCTGCACATGGTGTTTATTGACCTAGAGAAAGCGTATGACAAGATTCCTAGAGAAATTCTCTGGAGATGCCTGGAGGCAAAAGGTGTGTCGGTTCCCTACATTATGGCGATTAAGGACATGTATGATGGGGATAAGACTCGGGTTAGGATAGTAGGAGGCGACTCTGAGCATTTTCTGGTTGTAATGGTGTTACACCAAGGTTCTGCGCTCAGTCCATTCTTATTCGCCCTGGTGATGGACGCGTTAACACACCATATTCAAGGGGATGTGCCATGGTGCATGCTATTCGCCGATGACATAGTTCTGATTGATGAGTCGCGAGCCGGTGTTAACGAGAGGCTGGAGGTTTGGAGACAGGCTCTTGAGTCTAAGGGTTTCAAGCTGAGCAGGACGAAGACGGAATACCTGGAGTGTAAATTCAGCGCTGAGCCAGGGGAAGTGGGTGTGGATGTGAGGCTTGATTCACAGTTCATCCCGAGTAGAGGTTCAGTTATCCAGGGGGGAGGAGCGATCGGCGAGGATGTCACACACCGTATTGGGGCAGGATGGATGAAGTGGAGGTTAGCATCTGGAGTCTTGTGTGACAAGAGAGTGCCACCGATACTCAAAGATAAGTTTTATAAAGTGGTGGTTAGAC